CGCTACTCCTCCTCCTCCTCCTCCTCCTCCTCCTCCTCCTCCTCCTCCTCCTCCTCCTCCTCCCTCCCTCCCCCTCGCCTCGCCTCGCCTCTCCTCCCTCTCCTCTCCTCTCCTTTCCTCTCTGTTCTCTCCCTCGATCGTCTCCCCATTGCATCTCTTTCTTTTTTCTCGTCTTTCTCCCTCGCTTCTTCTCTTCCCTTCCAAGTTCTCACACCTTCGTGAAATCTTGCGCGCAGCGAAACTTCTTGTTGCTGCTCTGGTATGAGCAGCGCCGCATACACGAGCAGCTAAGACGCTGCGCGCGAGGCAGTCAGGAGGACGCGAGCAAGTCAGGAGGACGCGAGCTAGTCTGCATGCCTACCTGCTGGTCGTCGCTCCTCCTCCTGTGCTGCACGGGCCCCCAGCTCTGCTCCAGCTCGTTACTCGACCTCGGATATAAGGACAAGCACAGCGCATGCATCACCGTGCCACCAAGGCAGCCTGGGCTGTTGGGGTGCAGCTGGCACCACTGCTGGCCGCTGTCCACGTAGCAGAGACCCTTCGTGTCCCTCCACCGGCAGCCGACCTGAGCCCCGTCAGAGAGGGGGGGGGGAGAGAGGATGACGAGGATGGAGATGACAATGACAATGATGATGACAATGACAATGATGATGATGATGATGATGATGATGATGACAAGGATTAATATTGATGGCGATGATGACAATGATGATGATGATGATGATGATGATGATGATGATGATGATGATGATGATGATGATGATGATGATGATGATGATGATGATGATGATGATGATGACAAGGATTAATATTGATGGCGATGATGACAATGATGATGATGATGATGATGGTGGTGGTGGTGCTGCTGCTGCTGGTGGTGGTGGTGGTGACGATGATGATGAGGATGAGGATGAGGATGAGGATGATGATGGTGGAAGTGGTAGTGGTGGTGGTGGTGGTGGTAGTGGAGAGGAGGAGGAGAACAGGTTTGCTTACCTGCTTGAGCGACTGCACGCAGTCCTGCTGCATGCACTTGGCCATGACCGCCAGCTCGTCGCTCTGCTGCCCCTGCGAGTCCCTCCAGGAAGCGCAGAAACTTGACACGAGTCAGCTTCTGTTCCATCCACCTCTTTCCTCCCACCTGTTCAGCAGCCCGACATCAGCTGGCATTTCAAGTTCCTTCGCTTGCTCCTCTTGCTCTTTCCCTTCTTTCTTGACTTTGTCCTTGTCCTTGTCCTCTTTGTCTTTCTCTGCCTCTTCCTTCTTCTCCTGGTCGTTCTTCTTCTCTTCTTCTCTGCTTTCTTCTGCTCCCTCCTGTCGCCCATGCTCCTCGTTCGACCAAACTTCACGATCCTCTCCGTCCAGCACCATCAGCTCGCCTTCATCGCTAAGCACAAGTCTGCGGCAGCAAGGCGTCAGCTGAACGCGAGCAAGTCAGCTGGTAACCTGTAGGGAGCTCTCGTCCCCGACCTCGCAGGCGTCGCAGTCACCATCCCCCCAAGCTTGTCAATCAAGACCAGCTGACCTCCGCTCGTCACGCGAGCATGACAGGGACACAACCAGCGGGACCCCGTAGAAGAAAACGAGGAGGAGGAGGAGGAGGAGGAGGAGGAGGACGAGGAAGGGAGGAGGAGGGAGGAGGAGGAGGAGGAAGGGGAGGAGGAACTAACCAACGAAAGGCAAAAAATTTTTTCCTCGATCCTTCAATCTTTCCCCGTAAGTCAACTCGAAAAGAAGCCACACCAACCTTTGCCCGTGG